GGGACACCTCCAGAGCGTGGAACATCTCCTCCAGAGAGTGGGATACATTTTTAGGGTGGAACATCTCCAGAGGGTGGGATATGTTCTCCACAGGGTGGGATACCTCTTCCAGGGGGTGGAACATCTCTTTCAGAGGATGGGATACATTCTCCTGAGGATGGGATACCTTCTCCACAGGGTGGGACAGCTCCAGAGGGTGAGATACGTTCTCCAGAGGGTGAGATACGTTCTCCAGAGGGTGGGACACCTCCACAGGGTGGAATACCTCCTCCAGAGGGTGAGATATGTTCTCCAGAGATTGGGACACCTCCAGAGCATGGAACATCTCCTCCAGAGGGTGGAACACCTTCTCCAGAGGCTGGGATACATTCTCCTGAGGGTGGGACATCTCCTCCAAAGGGTGGGATACATTCTCCTGAGGCTGGGACACCTTTTCCAGAGGGTGGGATAGGTTCTCCTGAGGGTGGAACATCTCCAGAGGGTGGGATATGTTCTCCAGAAGATGGGACATCTTCTCCAGAGGCTGGGATGCATTCTCCTGAGGGTGGAACATCTCCTCCAGAGGATGGGATACATTCTTCTGAGGGTGGGACGTCTCCAGAGGTTGGGATAGGTTCTCCAGAGGGTGGGACACCTTCTCCAGAGGGTGGGATACATTCTCCTGAGGGTGGAATGTCTCCAGAGGGTGGGACACCTCCAGAGGGTGGGACACNGTGCTGTATTTCCATCCCTCCCTGGTGGCTGTAAGAGCACAGTGCTGTATTTCCCTGGTGGCATCTCCAGGGCACAGTGCTGCATTTCCCTGCTCTCCTGCCCCCGGCTCTCCCCTCTGCTGCCCTTGCTGTGCCCAGCCTGGCCCTGGCAGCCGGGGCACTGCAGCCCTTCCTGCTCTGCCCTGCAGTCTGTGGGCTCTGGTGCTCAAGGGAAGGGAGGGAGGAGAGGCAGGCTCGGGGCAGGGGTGGCATCTCCTGCTCCCTGCTCAGCAGGAGCTCTACAGAAGCAAAGCAAACGCAGCTGCTTCTCTGGCGGCCGGGGGAGCTGCAGCAGCAGTTCAGCTGCTGGGATCACAGCCCGGGGACTTCTCCAGGCAGGGGATGACGGCTGGGCTTGGCTCTGTGCCGCTGGTGCAGCCACAGCCCCATGAAAGCAGCGCCCAGGACAGCACAGCCCGCCAGGGCCCCCAGCAGGATGGGCAGCAGCGCGGCAGGAGCAGCACCTGGGCACACAGAGAAGGAATGGAGAGTGAGAAATGTTCTTTGCACAAACAAGCACAGCCACAAGGAGTCAGGGATGGTGCCAGCAGGTTTTGAGAAGTCTCTCATGTTTTACCAGCTCTTTCCTAATAGGTACAAGCATCTAATTAACATCAAACATCTTCTGTGTTTCACCTATGAACACTCCTGACCCATGGGCAGCCTCATTCTGCTCCAAAATGCTGCAGTTCTTTACAGACAGAACATTCTGCCTCATTTTCTCCCCTTCCCTCCTCCTAAAGCTGGAGTTCCCTCTCAGGGTGCCTTTGGAACTCTGTTGGATGTGACACTGATTAACCCCAACCTGTGGGATCCAGGGAGGCCAAAGCAGAGGTCCAGAGTTGTTGGATATAACCTAACCAATAAAGTTATTAAAAATGTGCTGGTTTTCCTGCAGCAGGGAAAGCTGAGCAAAAACCTCTGCGAGAGAAATGAACCCAGGAGAGCCCCACCTTCCTCTGCCTTGTACAGAAACCTGTTGTCCATCCTCCAGACGGGCCCGAGGGAGACCAGCCTGTGCAGGTTTCCATGGCTGGTCCTGTCACTGGGCTGGGCAAGGGGCTCCACACTTCCCAAGCAGTCCTGGGAAAGAGATGGAAACACCTGGCAGTGTCCTGAACAGAACCCCAGGTTCTGCCCCAGTTCTGCCCCAGGCCCTCCTCAGTGTTTTCCACCTCTGCTGTCGTTCCTAAAGGTGAATTTCCAATCCTTGGACCAGCAATGTATAAATCTTTATTTCCTAATTTCGTTTTCTTAGGGATTGCCAACTATTGCCACCCTTCCACGCCATTAACTCCTCTCCCAGACTTCAGCCAGGGATTGGCCATGGGGTGACCTTGCTGAGGAGGCTCTGGGAGCACCAAATCCCTCCTGGTTTGGTGGGGTCCCCCCTCAGTACCTGCTCACATCCTGGCTGGCCGGGCAGGCACACCCTCAGCTCGCAGTGCAGGTAGGCCACGGAGTGGTTCAGCATCTGGAACAGCTGGATGGAGAAGCTGGTGGCCCTGGAGCTGCCACCCTCCAGCAGCTGGATGTGGCTGCACTCCAGGGGCAGCCTGGCAGGGGCAAACAGCAAACAGCTCCAGATGCCAGCTCAAACTGCACAGCCCAGCCCTGCAGCCCTGTCTGAGGGGCAGGAAAATCCAGCAACAGCAGCACTCCCTGCTGGAGCTGCCCTGCTCAGAGCCAGAGCAGCAGAGATGTTTCCAGAGATTGGTTTAGTAGTAGTGTGCCCATCACCCCCTGAGCTGCTGGATCCCACATTTCACCCCCCTGTGGGTTCACAAACCCTGAGCAATGACCCTCCCATGTCCTGGGGATGCTGAAATAAATGGAGTGTGAGGTTCCAAATGGCTGGCACCCCTGGGTGTCCCTCCCCAGCAGGAAAGGGGTGCTGCACCCCTGTGACAGCCCCTGGGGGAAGCAGGACGGGTCATTTCCATAAATTCTAAACAAAGGGAGGTGTTCCCCATTCCCACCTGCGGAACAGGCAGCACTGAGCCCCTGGGGGGAGCAGGATGGGTTATTTCCATAAATCCTAAACAAAGGGAGGGGTTATTTCCACAAATCCTAAATAAAGGGAGGAGTTCCCCATTCCCACCTGCGGAAGAGGCAGCACTGAGCCCCCGCAGCCCCGGGGCTGGCCGAGGGGGTCACGCAGCAC